CTCCTGGCTAGTAGATTCGGAAGTTGTGATTAGTAGGGACGATAATGTAGACGAGTCGAAATCTGCTTTTCTTGAGGGCGTAAGGGTCTTTTACTTTGCTTTCGTGGGCTTTTTGTTCGCCCGCCGGTGGGTAGCACATGTTGTGATATAACGAGGGCTTCTATGACTACCGTTGTAGCGTTTGGTACCGCATTATCTCTCCTCATTCCCAGCATCATTATCGTCGTCTTTGTCGTCTTATGTGTTATCGGAAGCGTATCTTTGACGGAGGGGGAGATAACTCAGCTCAAAGTTGATAAGGTGTTACTCAATCTCGGCTCAACAGACTCTACAGTGAGAGCTGGAGGTTCGTAGGGGACACCACTGACAGGTGTTGAGAATAGTCCCCCTCTAAACGCCTTGTTTCCTTGACAGTAGCCCCCTTGCGCGAACTCCATGCCGTTCTTTTCTGCCCACGCCTCGCATATCCCGCACTGTACTTCTAATTTCTTGGAATTTTATTCGATGGTACTTGACCAAGTTAATATGTTAGTACCATCTACAAACCCAGCAGCATATTAGAAAGGAGTTTTTAGAATCGGTAAAAGCGTACCAACGAAGAATAGGAAAAGAATTGGCAATTTTTGTGTTATCCATGTAACTCACCATGGTAAATGCTTAAGCTAACGTCATAGTAGATTCACGTGACTATGTAACTAAACCGTGGAGTGTTTAGAGTGCAATACATATGTGGTCGTTAAATTTAATCAAATCAAATCAAATCAATACATATGTGGCTAGCACGACGTTAGATAATTATAAAATAATTATAATACATATGTGGGCTAGTCTCTGCTTCTCCTCGGGATCTTTTCTCGCCCACCTGGCACGTTTCTAGATTTCTCCAGGGTCTCTCGTCGCCTCTGTCACTGCTACTCTTTATCCAATGGTCGTCGATCTTTCTATTTGAGCCTTTTTCCTACTAATGGGCTTCTAGTATTCTATCCAGCTTTCTTCGGTGCTAACTTTTTCCACTTTCTCCTTGCCCTTCGAGTTTCCTTTACCGCCTCAGAGCTTTATTGGTCCAGTACGGCTTGGCAAACCCTGATGGGTTGGCGTTAGGTATTATTAAAATACTGAACTCAGATAATGAATATCGGTTAGGAGCATTAGCTTCAGGCTGTAGATATTTCTAGGTATGTTGCTTAGACAGTAAGAGCGGGCTAATAATTAACAGTACGTGTGGTGAATAATCCAATATCATTTAAGGTGATTTGTGTATACTTACTAAGGTGGATGTTTATCTTTCTACATATGCACAGACCATTGTGTGCCTCAGGCATAAGACATTACATGATTGCTAATTGTTTTACTTGGTATATGAAATGGGAATGTACACTTGCGCTGGAACAGCTAAGACAGTATGTGGAGAGATGTCTTCATTAATGTGCAGAAGTGAAGTGACTATGATAATTATTATGTTACAGATTGGGGGAAGCTCGTCCCTTATCCCCTAGCTTGTTTCCCTGTAGACCAATCACGTTACCAGTATGCAGCTCACCAAAGTGTGCAACCAACTGAGCAGCCATGCCATTTATCCTATATCAACAACCCATCTCTCATACTGCACACATTCCTACTTGTAATGTCGTTATGTAGAGACTGGATCTCCTTCATGTGCCATGATGCCATGCTGCCATAATAACTACCTATGCACCAGCTACTAGATCTACCATACTACATAGCTGAGCATAACACTAATACACCATAATTCATATTTGGGATGCACTCGTTGGATACTGTTATTAGTATCTTTTAACAGGCATATTGTCCCTAATTACTTTCTGAATGATTAAGGTGATCAAAGTCACTCTGTGATCTATAATTTGGCGAGAGTTTAGGTCACTGTGTATTGCTCTCAGCGTTACTAGTTTAGCATTAAGTGTCTTGTTGACTTCATCCCAGTTTGCCTTTTTCCATTGACGGGACGGAACTAGCGCTTCTTTGTGATCCAATTGGATTGATGGCTGCGTGTGGATGGTAATGTAGCCAGAGGATGCCTCTAGCTAACTGGCAGGTTGACAGCATGTCACTGCGTCTTGTAGCTCTCTAGATAGGAAGACAAGATCGAGTGTGCTCTGACTCACCTTTTTTCCCAGGTTATTGTTCCCTTGAGAGGAACTAGCTCCATATCTTTGTTTCCTTACATTTGAACTAGGTCGTCTGCTGGTTGATGGTGACTTAGCACAATTCGGCCTCCCCATCTAGGATGGTTTAGGTTAAAGTTACCCACAAGGGTATATTGGCCGTTTTTTGAGTTGATTTCCGGAAAATACTTTAAGGTTTCTAGATTTTTGTTACTGTGAGAGAGAGGAGAAGGGTTATATATATTGTTAATGTATATCTTACCTTCTATTAGATTATGATTCCTTTAGATGGATATAACAGTGTGGCTGGAAGTAGATTCGATAAAGTATAGGGTTAAACAAACGTCTATTGTTACAACAGTCTCAGTATTCCCTAAGAATGCTGCAGCCTAGCTCATACCAACGTTCCACTACTAGGCTCATCTACACGCGAATATGGAACTACTAATACAGGGTATATACGATCCCCAAATGCCTTACCCTTTTTACTCCTATACAAATAATAATCACAACCCTAACTCCGTTATGTTAAGGTACAGGGATAAATATGTTTGACCAACGCTCTTATAATTCAACACCTTCATTGGTTTGGATACTGATGCTAGCTATATCTCCATCGGCTTCCTCTGGACTCTTTTCCATCCTCCACTTATTAACTACGAGTTGGTTACTTACGTAAATGCATGTTCTACATTTGCGTCCTCTTGGAAATACCAGGTAGTAAGCTGGATGTTTGACTGTGGTGATTTCTCTTGGGCCACGCCGTGGTTCTTGTAATTATTATTATTGTTATTTATGTCACATTAAAATACATAATTTTTTAACGAAAAGCTGCGCAGCGCTCCACGCTGCCTTTTTCATTTATTTGACTTCGTAACTACCAGTTATTCCCCTCATCCAGCTCCTTTCCATCAGACTATTCGCTGTGATACAACCTAGCGAATGCTGGACCTCGTTGCATGAAATCTAGCGGTCCAGATCCGTCGCAATCCACGACAATGGCGAATATAACCGAAGCTCGTGAAGTGCGCACAGCACCAATTGATAAGAGCCTATTAATTTAGAGGGAACAACTAAAGAAGTTTAGTATTCTTTGCTCATATATAGACGATGATGATATAACCATCACATCTGAAGATATTGCGGAGGCCATAAGGGCTTTCTATCTGCACAAGAAGGTCTGGAAAGAGATTCAGACTATGAAATCCCCCTCGAAGAAAAGATGTTTGCTCGGGAGGAAGTAAACAAGGAGAGTCTTATGGATACTGAGGTGTGTGTTCAGTCAATAAGCCAAAGCAACACAGCTCTGAACTTGATGGAGATAGAGGATTCTGAGGCTCTATGGCAAGATTACTACGTGGAGGTTTGCTGAGACCCGCTGAGGACAAAATTGAAGGAGGTAAATTCGCAAATAACTCGACTCTTGTAGGGAGATGGAGGCGTCTACGAGGGTCCGTCTTCGAGGACTAATTATAAAAAGAAGAAGAATGTTATACAACGGACAATGGCATGAACTAGCCATGAGGGATAGCCGCTGAAGAAGATTGATCAGGCTGAGCTCCCCTACCACCCATAGAGGCCCCACAAGAACAGGTGGAATGAAACGGAACTGTCCTCAATGTCATGCCCAGCTTCCCGAGAGGACTTGCATATCCACCATTGACCCTGACCCTTCGCTGAAATGGGGATATAATTCGGGCTGTTCTGCTTACTCTATTTATCATCTACGAAGATTTACTGTTGAAACTGTTGTGATTTCAGAGTTAGAAGACCAAAAAGTATAGCTCAACGAATATCGCTGCTATTAAAGATTTAAGTTTCATTTAAAACGAAAGTTTATGTATACATATGCTAGAATTAAAGCAGGTTTTCAAACACTAATTTTTACAGTGAAAATTTATCAAATTAGTTGACCACACAACCATTGTCTACATGAAGGAACCAAAAGGGAATACAAACTGAGGAGGCCTTGGTGGGCGACTGGATGAGGCCTCCGGTGAAGAAAACGACCCCTGGATGAGATGAGGAAATGCTGAGATGAGCCAAAGCTGGGAATGAATCGAAGGGAAAAGTCACAGATGGCGAAGGTGTCAAGGGCTCGGGCGCGTGGTGGCCGAGGCTGAGGAGGAAATTGCGCTACGGCGTGTATACAGCGGGTTTCTGGACGGTTGGGCCTGACATGATTCAACACATGGGTGAAGTCTGAGGTAGTCCGGTCATTCAGATAGGACGAGGCATTTGTACTTTACGGTAGTTAACCTGAACCGGCCCGGCCCCACCCGTGCTTAAGCTCCAGTAGTAGTGCAACGGGAATCACCATACCTAGCACGTACATGAACAAAACAAAACAAAACCATTGTGTGGAGAATAAATAGGTATTGAACCCGCACCTGCAAGTTCATGAGAAAATCGGTCAACAGCGATAAGAAATTAGATTGAAGTAGGGAGGGAAGTTGTTTATAGTTGCAAGGAATGCGGCATATTCCAACAGAAACATCACATAAAAATCTTCGTAGACACGTTAGGAGGCGTATGGGGTACTCAAATAAATGTGCATTATTTTTGTGTTTGCCAGGAAATTCGTGGATCGTAAGAACGCTATGTGGCTAACTAGTACAGGTCAAGCAGTCATAAAATATTAGTAGGTGATATCTGTAACCATTATTCCCAAACTCCTTCGTAATCGTCATATCTCATTACCGATCTTGTGTTTAGCCAGATACTATGCCAATGATCCCAAGAAGAATAAATTCGTCAAATATCAATAAAATAACGTAAAAAATAAAAGGCATCTCATGTGTAACAAAGACTTTACTCTCAAACGAGAATATAAGTCTAGAATAATTGAAAGGTTTTTTGGAAGAGTATACCATTTTAAACATCATGATACGGCGAGATACCTTTTTTGATTTCAAATACGATTTCAGCTGCTTCTTCGGCGCTCTTTGCCTCAAAATCATAACGTTTTGTTTCGGTGGTTTTGTAAATAACAACCTTTACTCAGAAATCAGTAATTAAACTTTTGACAAGGCATTCTCGAATTATTCCAACCTTAAAATTAGTAGGATGCCTTCGAGTAACTTTGCATCCAACTATATTGCTGAAGTGCACGGTTGTCGTTTTTCCTTGCCCTTCGAACAATGTTTTTCCTGTCGAGGCCGGCATAATATGTAGGTATTCGCCGTCAATCGCCAGAAGTCTCTCATTCATTCCAACGAAACGCATAGGTTGCTTCCGCCAAACAGTATATTTCCTGTAATTAGCACTTCCAAGTTCATCCTGTTTCATTGAATTTAGTGCAAGGGGATGGGTGCTCATTAGGTTGCCCTTTTTAACCTTTCGAGACTCAGGACGATCCACTGTCATAGAAATTTTTGGTGAGCTACTGCTTGGCGATCCAGTCATTGTTAGAATCCCATCTGTTGCAAATCTACGACGAAACAAATCTAGATCTACACGATTTCCAATCGATTCGACAGTACGGTCCAATAGAACAACAGTACCCGAGCCAGTTAACTTGAGAACATGAGCTGCTTTATCTAGTTGTCTTCTTTTGCAAACTAGATCGAGAATATCAGCAAGATAAGTATCAGATGTGACTTCTAGAGTGATTAATTGACCGGGAGCTGCATCTGCTGAATGAATGTGGATACGAAGAAGCTTTTGAACTCCACCTCTTGTAGATGAAGGTGTGACAGCAGTACCGACTGAAGGAGCGTCGGCGGGTATTCCATTGCTTCTCATAACCATAGGAGTTAGGACTGGATTGTAGCGTGGTTGAATGCTGGTAATCGAAGTGAAGGAAGTTCCTGGTTGAGGAAGTGGCTTAGGCTGATTTGGAGTGAGATCATCTGACTGGAGCATAGGCTCTTGTCTAAACTGCGACGTAATTACTTGATTTTCTAAAAATTGATCTTCTGTGGCCTCCACAAGCGCAAACTCATCAAAGAGCTTAGCACCAGATCTTGATCGAGCAGCTCTATTGTTAGCCATAGAAAACGCGACCACTGGCTTGGTGCGGTCGAGAGCAGGGAAATCATAATCTACCTCTTCATCTTCTACCATTCGTAAAGTCCATCGATTAATATTTAACTTTTCCGCAGGTAGTAGAGGTTCAAGCTTATCCTGAGCGTATCGCCACAGACTTAGACCAATCAAATCTGCGACAGTCACTTGTCGATCGGTAGCATCACTATCATGTACACGGCGTTTAAGTAAAACCTCAAAAGACTTCGTAGATGATGTTACAAAAAGTGTCCAAATACGGAGATTTAATGGATTTGATTCGCCTTGTCCAGAGAGAGAAGCAAACGATTCAAAAGGCAGAGTAAACTTATTTTTTCTGGCTTTAATGGCGGCCGAAAGCAAACTTTTGGGCTGTATAGTACTGATGGGCCTAGCGGGCGGTAGGGCTGTGAGAACCTCTGGGTCTGTTTTGTGCTGCTTCGAAGAGGATTTATCTATTGATCTCGGATTTGTTTCGGTCAAATTTTCGGATGATGCATTGACAGGACTTTCAATGCCATGCATAATCGAATGAGAATCCAGACTACCAACAAAGTCTGAGTCTAAGCCAGATTCGTAAGAATCCTCTTCATCAGCTTCTTTATCCAGGGCACTTATCCGCCTCCTTAGTCTAGATTCAGAATCTGATGATTGCCTGAGAGCCTCTCTATCCTCTCTGATTAAATTAAGGGCTGCATCCCTCTGAATCTGAATTGTCGATAGATCAGACTCATTGTCGGATGATACCTCACCGCTGGTATTGGTATTTGCTCGAGCTCGCGCTTTTAAAATCTCTAGGGCAGACTGTGATCCTCTTCGTGATTGGCTAGCAGGCGTTGGAATTGGTGAGTGCATTATCGATAGGCGCCTTAGATTTGATCCCCTAATTGGGGACGAGCCTGAGCGATTTCGTATCGGCATTTTCGAGAATTTTATTTGTTGACTAGAGCGTCGGTCTACATCATCGTCACTTTCATCACTTAAATCACTGCTGTCTTCTTCCTCCATCTGTTCACGTCTACGTCTTCTCTTTATCGCAGTTCCGAGTCCTACAATATCACTTTTTATACCATCCGGGACTAAAATTCGCTCCTCGGAATTTTCATCCAAGCTGTGATGCTGAAAGACAGCAGATCGCGGCGGCCCTTGAAAATATTCAGAAGCTACAGCGGTGGGGATTGGTGGGGAGTGTGTTCGCTTCTTGAGAGCTCCTGTCTGTCGCCATCCAGGAGTTCTGATTTTGGCAATTCCAAGTGCAGCATCATCGAGGGTGATCAATCTCTCACCAACACCGTCAGGAATTAGTTCTAAGTATTTGCTACGTAGCTGGTGCAATACAAGTCTATTATTAGGTCATTAGTTGTAGGCATAAATGAGAAGCTCTAGAATTCCATACTCTTCTATCTGTATAATTGACATTCTACCTTCGCACAACCTTTGACCGTGAGAATAAGCAAATTTTGAGTTTGCACGTCAATTGTGAACAGAATGATTCCCGCATAGGGTAACTTTTGGGAGCTAAATGTCGAATCAGCCTTGCAACTTCAAACTAGGCTAGCTCGGACAGGAGAGCAAGGTCAGTTGAGGCTCGATTCAGCCTTCTCTTTCCGACGACTAGCAATCACTTACGCAATGGGTCTTGTCGACTATACAGACTCAGATCATTCAGACGTGGAGGGAAAGCTCGTAAAAAAGTTTCCTGAAAAATCTAGATCTTCACACTCAGCATTTTCAAAAGTTGTGGACAGATCAAATCCCGGCAAGATCAAGATTTCCTTGCCGCAAGCCGCACTGGAAGAAAAAGATGAGCTGGACGAGCGTCCCAACAAGAAGATAAGAACAGATAATGGAGGACTTAATGACTTCAACTCTTTCCTTCCGGCACCGAAAAATTCGAAAGCTAGTACGAGCGCGGGAGCTTTTCGTCTAAAGACTGGAGCGGCACCAGCGTTTAGCAGAGAAGATGAACCAGAAATGAACTACGAGGTCGAAGAATGTGAACAGTTAAGTCATGTAGTAAAAGACTCTGATTCGCCAGTAACTCCACAACCGAATGTTTCTGGAATTAAAATGATCGGAAAGCCTCGGATCTTGAGGCCACTGTCAGTTTCAAGGAACTCTGCAAAAAGAAAGATTGAGCATAATGTTCCTATGACCAAACGTGCCACTGACATAGTAATATCCACACCAGAACCAAAGACAAATTCTTGCCAAAAAGTTACCCTCTTTGGCTCGATATCCGAGCCAGAAACTCATACACCGTTGCCAAAAAACAATGGATTTAATTCAATAATATATGACATCTCTAGTTGTACAGATGAGACTTCGGGCTGCGAAAAGTACGAGGCCTCATATGAGGATTACACTCCTACATCATCATTTTCTATTCCACCCTCTGTTCCTACTCCACCAATATCCAATACACTATCATCATTAGCTGACAATCTCAATCTCTCCATTTCTGAAAGACGTCAACTCTTTGGGAGGCATAAAGAAAATGACATTTGGGCTTCGGATCCCAAAATAATCAACTTTAATACGGACGAAGAATACGCACACAACGAAATAATACGCAGCACTGGCGAGCAACAGGTACACAACCCTGTTAGGGCCATTGCACCTGGAAAGCATAGTCTTAAACAATTGGTCAATGCTGCGCAGAGTCAAAAAGAGGCATTGGAGGAAAGCTTTGCGAAAGGAAAAAGTAACAGAGCTGAGGCTAGTAGTCGGTACGGCTGGTAAATTCCGTAGGAAATTATATTTGTATATAATACGGTCATGTTCTACTAGGTTTTATGGTAAAACATTAAAGAGAAGACATTTGGCTGTAGGGTAAAAGGGACAAAAACACAAGGGTGCACGAGAATGAATTTGATCTTTTAAAATCACCCTACTCATTTGATTTTGATTTTCTTTGCGGAGAGATAGGTACAATAATTATTCTGCTATATGCCTGGGACGCCTACTTATAATGAAGTGTGTATGGAATCGGTCAATTTCTCACCGATAAATTACATTGAGATTGGGAAATTCTATAGAAGGACCAAACCTTAGCACCATAGATTTCTCAAGTAATTGTTAATGTAGCAGTGCTAACTGTATTGCAGAATCTTCCTGTATAAAATCTCAAATTTCACGATCCCAGTAGACTTTTGGGTGAGGAAACTAGATTACCAGGCATTTCTGTAATGGTAGAGTTCTTGTTTAAAAGCGGAACAGTCCACAAGCTATTGTCATCTTGTATAGGAATGTTTGGAGTCTCACATAATCAATCTGATTTCTTTGATCTGTAGCTAATCACTGATTTCAAATTGTACCAGCAGATACATCAGGCTTTTTGATGCAGCGATATATCTCGTGATTCAGTGGTATAGGCTGAACTATGACGAATTTTGCTAGATGCCCTGTTTCGCCAATGCAACCAGCCTCCTCTATTTCTAGGAGCCAAATTTCAAATTCTATAACCTGAACTGCTGTACAATCGCCACAGCAGATTTGTGGGAGGTGTGTGAGTAGTTGGGGAAAAATGTTTATCGAATAAAGTTTCTTCTTACAGAAAGACAAACGAGCGGACACCGCACAAAGTGTTTCTGGCTTGATCTGGAAATACATGGGATGCGTGGCCAGACAATACAGACGCTACTAGAGGCCGACGCGTACAATGTTCTACTGTACTATGGTAGCTTGGGTTGGGAGCTACAGGCGGTGCCGCGATCGACGTCATGCTGCAGTTCAGACCTACTTCTACTGTGTGATGTAGGGCCGGTATGTAGGTGTGGTCGGCAAATCCCTAGCTCCACATCGGGCGATGCTGGCGCAGGCATCTAATTATTAATTCATTTTATTGTCCTGTCTGAGTCTATGACTACAGTCTCTTATGGGTGGCAAAGGTAAAATTGTCAAAACGACTGGGGTAAGATCCCTGTACAAATTGCCTTAATTGATATAATCTTCATGTAGGCCCATGTCTAGTTACTCGACTAGTTATGCAAGCAAGGGGTACTATCCAATGACATTCCGTGAAAGTCTAAATTATGGGGATGGCTTTAAACTCAATGGGAAAAGTACAATAGTCCTCAGCTGAAATTCAAAATTGAAAAAAGTCAATTGATATTCTCTAAAATTGCACATCTATTTCAAAAATTATTGCTCTGTATTACAAAAGTCTACATCGAAGCCCTCAGTGTAGCTCGAAACTAAAATGAAAGCGTACTACAAGTATTGTGTGTCTTCTCCATCCTAATACTTTGTGTACCCTCCATTTGCCTTTATCACTGCTACACATCTTTCGTGCATGCTGCCAACTAGCGACAACAGCTCCTCTGAAGGTTTAGAGTCCCATGCATCCTGTAGCAATGTCTTCATCATGGCAGAGCGCACAAGCCTGGCCCCATTTATCTCAGGACTATTTACCTGAATGTGGTTTTTTAAGATATTCCACAATGACTCGATTGGGTTCAGGTCCGGAGAGTAGGGAGGCCATCTAATAGGCGTTATTCCAACTTCACGGAGCGCCTCAATTGTTGAGTACGCTTGGTGAAATGGTGCGTTGTCGTGCATGTGTAGAATTTCTGGATTATCCGAGTGAAATTGATTGAAAAGTGGAAAAATCCTTTCACAAAAGGATGAGGACCTCATTGATCCCCAATCCTTCTCCCAGACTAGGAATGGGCCTTTTTGTGATCCGTAAAATGATCCCCAAAACATCCAGCTGTTCCCATGAGTATGGCGAGCCACAGTACAAGTCTCATCAAACTCATCATCAGGCTAAACTCTGCTGTTAATACAAGGAAGATTTAGATAGAATTTAAATGTACTTTTCTTGTGACACGAGGTTTCATATGACAACCCGATACCCAGGTTTCATCAGTCCATAATATGCGACTCCATTGTTCATCGCTCCAATCTAAATGTAATTGGGCGAACTCCAATCTTTTCTGCTTGTTCACCGCGCTTAACGGAGGCTTCTTCCGAGCAATGCATCTGCTGTAACCTCTTTTTTTGAGTGCACTAGAAATTAGACGTTCACTGCATCTCCAGTGGCTGAAGGGCCCCATAGCTAGTTCCAGATAGCACATCTGTCGATTTTCTGGAGACTCCCGGAGGAAAGCCTCAAGCTCATCAACTTGTTCCGCGCTTAATTTTGGTAAGGGTTCTTTGCGAGACATAGGATTCTCAGTCTCTCGAGCACACGCAAGTTGTACTTGTCTTATTGTGAAGCCAAGTTTGTCGGATATATTTTGAAGTGTCAAGCCAAGACTTCTTAATGCTCTTATTTCAACACATTGATCGCGAGTTAGATGCTTGCGAGCTTTAGTTTCTGAAGCAGACTTTTCGAGAGACATTGTTTGCTAGAATAGAGGATGACTTGATAGTGGTGTTATGATTCAAGGACTGCGTAGGTTAGGCAGCCAAAATGTCGTTGAAAATGTGTTTTACTAAGCGATTATTAGAAGAAGACGATTGGACCATACTTCATGGCGAGCGGGGTAAGGAGGAGAGACATACTAACCTATTACAAGCTAGCCAAACTGCGCCTACAGGGCTAATCCCTCCAACGACCCAGTTTGAAGTTTTACCTTTTGGAACCTAGAGGCACTGTATGCAAAACGCCCGGTATGGATGAGGACCCCAGATCCAATAACTTTTTGAGTAGCAAGCAGACCCGAAATGGGGAGGGCAAGACTGAACACCTGTACGCGGTGTCCTCTACGAATCTGAGAGTGAAATATTCTCCCAGAGCCAAGTTCAGTCAAATTTCGCAATACCGAACAAGTTGGCCCACGAGGCAATGATTCAAAACACTCCACCATATCAATCTTTCACTCCCAACGAAATCGATTCCTACCTAAGCCTCATCAAGTTTACAAGTACGACCTAGTACATCCTCATTCCAATGACCACACCTCTTTTCGACTTTCTCTGGTCTTAGCTGGTCGCCAGATACACGCCCACGCCGATATTTATACCCGACGGAGGACACAAAGCGTGGCGCACAAATCTGGGAGACAGTTCTTTGGGAATGGCGTGAGAGGATTCAGGACAAGTTAACAAGATGATGCGAAGGATGGATTCAGTCACGACGGGCGTGGAATTTTGAAATTTGGAAATGAGCTTTAACAAATTGAGCTTTGTTTGTGCCAAGTCTTCGGCTGCGAGAGTGCAGGCGACACTATAAAAACCGCCATGGTTGGATGGTGCGGCGGTACATCGTCTTGGCCGGCCTGCCAAGTAGAGTCTGGATAGCTTGGACACATATCCCACTCGAGACAGTAGATCGCTGGTTCGAATCCGGCAAAACACAACCACATTTCTCGCGGCGCTGGTATGCATGGATGACGAAGGCATGCTTTGATAATCAAAGGTTTTTAAATTGCCTTTGATGGGCACTCACGAAGGAGGGTTGACTGTTTGTGTAAGCGAACATACCTCATAGTGATATTTGCCAATGAAATCCAGAGTATGAGTGTCTCTAACGTCAAAAGAGTCATCCCACATGTATACATAGCACCGGTCATGTGTCATAGCTTTATAGCTGAATACACATGAAATGATTTAAAAAAAATAAAAAAAGACCCGAAATGGGAGAGTAAAGCTGAACACCTATACGTGGCGTGCTCTACGAATGTGTGAATGAAGTATTGCGCCAAAGCCAAGTTTAGTCGAATTTCGCGATACCATTACAGAAATAATAACCCCTCAGTCGTTGAGGTATTGGAGCGCATTGATTCAGGTGACAACCGAAGTGAAACTGAGTACATAATTTCCAGTCACGTGCGTATCAACAACGTGGCCTACTTAATAGTCCCAATTATTCTAAATTCTAACGGATACCATGAAAATTGGTTCTCCTTTTGAGTTTTACGCAAGGACCTGCAATAGAAATCCCAGAGAAGGAATAAATATGTCTTAAACTCTGCCTTGACTTTGAGCCATGCGTTATGGATGGATGGCTTGGTATCTCGGAATAGATCTTTTAGAAGTCTCCCGAGAGTGAGTGTAATACATCAAAGGAGCAAAGAGCCTCGGCGAATAGCAGTAAAGGTGGGGGGACTATTCTCAACCCCTGTTAGTGATGTCCCCTACGAACCTCCAGCTCTCACTGTGGAGTCTGCAGAGCTTACATTGAGTAACAAAGTCCTCACTTCGGTGAGGATTCCCAATCGCTTTCGCGGTCTGTAGCGTCTTCATCCCTCAACACATCCCCCTATCACCACTATCATGAAGCTAACCACGATCAGATCAGATGGTAGGGTCGGAGCTCTACTCATCACCAAACCTTGATCACGGAGGAAAAGCCATCCGATGAGTTTCCGGAGCGTACCCAGCACCCGATACGGAGATAGTGGATTGGATCAAGTCGGTCTCGACTGTTACAAAGAAGGGAGACATAGATGAATATGCGCACCTCATGTGGTCCCGGTGTCTAGGCCTCGCCTGGCTGGGGCTGCAGGTTTTTTGAGACTTTTTCTCGCGCACGCAGTTTCCATTGTTACCATTTTTATTTTTTTTGGGCAGAAGGTTCCGTGGAAATGGTAGCCGAATTCCACGGGTAAACACTGAGCTGAATGGTTATTCATCAAGGGGAATATATCAATGATCTTTAAAGTAACAAAAGAGGACAGGAGCACTGTACAAGGTGTGGCCTGGGTCAGAGAGGAGCCCAATGTGCTAGATATTCTATGACTCAAATAGCCCAATAAAAAAACAACAAGGTGCTCTATCTAGGTTCAACTGGAAAGACTGCCCTCCCGTTATGTACACATGCATGGTACACCTTCGATGCCTGCATAACTCTCAATCCTCGTGTGTCACATTACCGTAAGTGGAGCTATCTAAACTCAGATAGGCATCCGCTCACCGCTAGCAACTAAATATCTTGAATCACCAACTCCCCGCTTGGTCTATGTGTAGGAGAAAACATATCTTGGGGCCTCTAATAGCCGTGAAAAGCTTTCATGCTTCTTGACTCGGTGCCCAAGCTCAGCTTTCGAGTCTTAGAAGGGTCCGCTTGTCTATTAGGCGTCAGCCACGCAAGCCCGTGTAGCTTAGTAAAATCTGACTGGAGGTCCACATAAGTCGCAGCTGTTCTCCTGAAATGGCCTGTGAGCATCGTTCATGTAGGATAAGCTCCTCTTGAATGTGGCACTATCATAGTGGCTCACACGCGTTAGAGCGTCAAGAATTTCCAGCCAGAGCAACGCGCAGCATCCTGGCCTCTAAAGAGCGATTGATGCTTATTCGAAGAGTTAGTTTTACTCTGAACAAACCGAGACCACTGCTAACATCCATGTCAATTTCTCGAGATTCATGTGACCCAAGTCTGAAGACATAAATGATAACGCCAGGAAGTCGAGGACTGATTCGATTCAATCCGCACAGAATGGCCGAATTTAGAGGTGGGGTTTGCGCTCATTACCAGCTTTCAATGCTGGGTGGAAAACTATAATGTAAAATATATAACAAGAACCAAGATAGACGAGAGGCACGTAGGCTAGAACCCAACAAGGAGGTTACTCTGTTTTTGATAGTTTTCTTGTTCCTGTTTTTTTGTCCTCTAGTTACTGGCCAGGTCGCTGCGATGTTGGAATCTGTTCATGTGGTGCAAACAAGTTAGGCGCGTACACAGTGACTTCACCGGCCGAGTACCCATCATGAAAGTGGAGCTTCTTCTTGTGACCTTGACAAAATTTGGCTCAATTTAAATCAATCATTTTTTTGGTATTAACCATATCGATAAAGCCTCCGGACAGATAATTTCTGTCAAAGATACACCGTCTAGGGAAAAATCTCGTAAACAAAGGCGTGCAAGTGTCTGAAGATATGCCTGGCAAGTAGCCTAAGCGATTATGACTAGCTTCACAAGTGATAATTGCGTCAATTATGCTTCATAACAAATGGGCATCAATTACACCAGCCATCAACTTTATCGCGATAGATGGCTTCTCAGAAGCGACTCGTTATGCATGGACGATCACAAATTAACTTCAAAAGTGCATGACTGACCATCTCATTATTTCTCAAGTTTATAGCTTATCTGCTTCAGACATGGTTAGAGCAACAAATAGATTGCAGGGCTCACCTACTTTGGAACCTCACAGAATGATAGATAGTCCTTGTAGATCAAAGATGTTCATGTTCGGGCTTATGTTTGTCAACAAAATATGTCCATGTTTCCTTCCGTGTAAATTAACCAGAATGTGATCGTAAGACTTGTGATTCAAAATTTTAGTCACACCGGTATAATTAACTTGTTAAAAAGCAGTTTTGCTGCACCTTGAACGCCGCTATCTGAATTTTGTTCCCGTTTTCTCTTCATTGGGAGCGTGAGGTTAATCAAGTGCTGGTTTATTCACTGACGCTGTCTTCAAATATTTCACCTTACCTATTCTTTGCCGGTGACGCAAATTGGTGAGTTGCCTGATATCTCTTCTAAGCAGCCTGCTGCTGAAGCTACAAATCCTAAATATGGTCGACTGGGTGCAAGCACCCTGGAGAGATATTCAGGATGAAACTGAACGCCTACATACCATGGATGATCTTTTAGCTCAATGACCTCCATTCGCTCGCCCTTTTCATCTCTGCCCACAAATTCAAGTCCTTGGGATTGTAACTTTTCGATACACTCGGGGTTGACTTCGTAACGGTGTCGGTGTCGTTCTAGAACCACCTTTTTATTATTATACATTTTTCTGACCTTAGACCACTCTGTTCCATCCTGAAAATGTGTCGGCCGAAGGCCGAGGCGCATTGTACCACCAAGGTTGACGGGATCAATTTCTGGCATGAAAATAACTACCGGCTCCTTACATTGAGGGTCCATCTCAATAGATGAAGCGTTTGGCATGTTACAAACGCTTCTGGCAAACTCAATAACGGCAATCTGCATGCCAAGACACACTCCGAGAAATGGTACTTTCTTTGTACGTGCCCATTTAGCTGCTTGGATCATACCCTCAGTTCCGCGGTGACCAAAGCCCCCAGGCACTATTATTCCTTGTGCGGTGCAAACTTCATGCCAGGCTTTGTGGAATGTAGCTGGGTCGTCAGTGCGAGCTTGATCTTCGAGGTGGGAAGCATCAACGAGAATCAGTTTGAGCTTTTTACCACAACGCATGGCTGAGTGCTCCAAGGATTTTATGACGGAAAGATACGAGTCATGTAGACTAGTATATTTTCCGACCAGAACAATGCTAACACTATCAAAAAAGCGATCTTTTTGAGTCGTGAGGTTTCTCCATTCAGACCAGATCTCAGTACCTTGAGTTATCAAGTTTTGAGGTATGGAAATTTCGTCGAGAAGAATTATTTTGCGAATAGTGGGTATTATACCCTGGGTATGGAGCAGGAGTGGAACATGATATGTTGAGGCTACATTGTGCACAGCTATGACTTGTTCAGTTTCGACCTGGCAAAACATTGCTACCTTGTCGATAGTACCCTTCTCTAGTTTAACATCACAGCGACAGACGATCTGACCAAGTTAGTATGATTTTGCAAGCAAACATTAGTTTTTGTACCAAGTCAGGCGCTAATCCGGCTCGGCCGACATCCCGTATAGATTGTTGGGTGGGTTTTGTCTTTTGTTCGCCCTGAACTAGCGGAACGAGGGAGACATGAATCTGCATGAAATTACCTTTCCCTGCCCTTCTCTTTAGCTGGCGCATAGCCTCAATGAATGGAGCACTTTCGATATCACCTACTGTTCCACCAAGCTCAATTATACAGACGTCCGGACGTTGATAAGTATCATCAACCGGGATGCAGGAAACTCTTTCTATCCAGTCTTGTATAGCGTCGGTGAGATGGGGTACAACTTGGACTGTCTTGCCAAGGTAGTCTCCACGACGTTCCCTTTCAATGACATGTTGATAAATTTTTCCGGTAGTAATATTATTTTCACGGGTTAGTGTTATGCCAAGGTAGCGCTCGTAGTTCCCAAGATCGAGGTCAACTTCTCCACCGTCATCAAGAACAAAGACTTCACCATGCCTATCAATAATTGGTTAGTTCAGCAGGGCCTGTCGGTAGATGACGACCAGCGTTTACTCAGTGGGAGCCATTGTTCCGGCATCAACATTCATATATGGATCAATCTTGATTGAGGAGACGTGCATGTCGGTCAGCCATTAAGATCATTTTCCTAAGTCTGGAGACCTATCTTTAACCCTATAGTTTTGAGGAGCAAGCCGGTAGAAGAAGCTTTGTTGATCAGTGAGCACCATATTTCCTTATTGCTCATCTTCTGAGTAGATACCTATGACTCCTTTCCCAATCCCCGATATGACACCTATGGATCTATCAATCATAGTTCAAAGATACATTTGAATGAGGTGAGGCGCGACTGACCACCCGAGACAAGTACATATTTCATGGTCATGATCGAAGTGATCAGATGTTTTGCCTTGATAATTCTACTTTTACGTGTAGAGTTACAATTGACTGCGAGTTTATATCAAGTTTGTCGTGAGTCGGTACTTTTCCAAAACCAGATGATGGTGGTGATACAATTGTTATTTAGTTAGCGGCATGAGTAGCTGTTGCACCATTAGAGTAGCCTTTCACTTGGCACTGGAAAAATTTTCCGCTCCCACACAAAATTGTTCACCATTTTTTTCGGTTAAAATTGTCTCCGCTCACATCGCTGCGAATGTAATATTAGATCTGGCTAGTTGAATGTTGTTTGATATCTCTCCAACTAAGCCTCAACATCTTCATTCTCCAAACATTTAATTCTTTGATTAATTGTGCTCGGGCCTAGTGCGTCATATTTAAATCACAGAAGGCGACATAGATTTGGCATTATTTTAATGTACGTGTCCTTGGGCGGCTCTTCAAGGAAACGGTCACACGAAGGGTGATCTTCTTTGCAAAGCGCAGTACAGTAAGACCCCTGTTTAGCCGATCATGCCGTTTATACGATATATTTTCCGGAACGGACTCCGTTTCTATACATTTACCAAGTACTCGACTATCGTTCTTCAACCTCTGAATTTCGTCTTAACCAGGATTATTTTGCTAGATTGGTGCCAATAATGCCGCCAAAAAGGGGAATTTCTGTAGAGCTGCGACGTGCTCTGCAACGATGGGCGCACCGCCAGGTCCCAAAACCAACACAAAAACAGTGCATTGAGTGGTTCTTCGCTGAGTACGGCTATCGATTAAGCTAGTACACAGTTTCCGAGTTCTTGAGCAATACCTTTGCGAAACTCAGTGAAGCTACAAGTACTACTGCGCTACGACAGCGAGCTGGAAACTGCCCTGACCTTGAGAGTATTAGAGCGATCAAAGACGGCAAATGGCAGTATAAAAGAGGCATCAAAGGTGATAAGTAGCCTAAATAGCTGGATTAGATAATGATATCCTTTACAGTGATATCATCAATATGACGATATTTTGCATGGCCCCGATTACATCGTATTAACAGGGGTCTCACTGTATTAGGTCCGGCAATTCATACTTTATGTCTCCCACGTTCTCACTTTTAGCCTGGTCTAGTGAAGAAAATAAACGGAGGACAGAGACTGACATCTGTCCGCTGTGTCCTCTACTAACGTAGGTGTGAAATATTCCCCTCAGAACTACGTTCAGTCAGATTTCGCAATACCTAAGGGTTTGGCCCGTGAGACAATGATTCTATCACCTACACAAAGTCAATCTCTCTGTTTGGATTATATCCGTAGAATTGGTGTAATCACGTGCAATTATAGTGTTAGCTACGTAATCATATAGATGCAGCATCGCCATCTCCTTAGAAAGAAAGAATAAACATCATTCACATATACCGAGCCCGGCAAAGGTACCAAAGTACTCAAATTATGCAGCACCTCACGAGTCGACTGACCTCATCTGCATGGAGGGCAAGACTGAACACCTGTACGCGGTGTCCTCTAAGAACCTGGGAGTGAAATTTCTCCCAGCCAAGTTCAGTCAAACTTCGCAATATCGAAGAAGTTGGCCCACGAGGCAATAATTCAATTTATTCCTCCACGTCGTTTTTTCGCTCCCAACGAGTTCGACTCATACCTAAGCCTCATCAAGACTACAAGTAAGACCTAGTACATCCTCATCCCAATGACCACACCTCTCTTTGACCTTCTCTGGTCTCAGTTGACCACCAAATACACGCCCACGCCGATATTTATATCCGACGGAGGAAGCAAAGCGTGGCGCACAAATCTGGGAGACAGTTCTTTGGGATGGACGTGAGAGGGATCAGGACAAATTTGTAAGATGATGCAAAGGAAGGATATAACCTTGAAGGGAATGAAATTCCGAATTTTGGCAAGCAGTTTTACGAATTGAGCTTTGAGCGCGCCAAGACTTCGCTTGTGAGAGTGCAGCTGACACTAAAAACAAGCCAACGATGGAAGGTGTCGTGGTCTGCCTCCTGGTGGTGTTCTCTGGTATAGTTTGAGTAGCCTGGGCACCTACTCCACTTGGGAAAGAGACACCTCAGATCACATATCGCGCGGAGAAAAGTTGAAAGATGATGGAGGCATGTCTGGATAACTCAGGGTTTTTGAGACGTTACCCTGGGTGGGTATTCACGGATGAGGGTTGACTTGGGGTCAAGAAAAGCTACCATAACTTCGCAGTGGTACTTGCAAATGAAATCTAAGGCATGAGTGCTCTTCATTTTCTTTGAATCATCTATTCTGTACTTTTCTTTGATATTGTGTCGTAGCTAGATAGCTGCATACGCAATTCGAATCTGATGCAAAAAAAAAAACAAAAGACCTCATCTGCATGGCCCGGCCGAGAAGACATAATGGAATAGTAGTTCCCCGCACACCAGCAGAGCTACACGTTATCCGAGAACGCGGTCACCGAAACTTAAAAGCTGCGGTAGCGGCGTGGGAAAGGAAGGGTAAGGATGTTGAGGTTATCAATACCCCGGAAGCGACGATGGTTGGTCAATGAGTAGGACGCCAAACTCTAATCAATCAACCGGAAAATATAGCACCCTTCTATTTCACCAAGTGAGCGTAGGAAAGGGCGGACCGAACATGGACACTGCGTTACAACAGGCGTGGGATGTAGGAGCGCACGTTGTCATGGTACAAGAACCGTGGACAATGCAGATAGACGGAGACTTCATCACAAAAAGTCACCCTGGCTTTGAGGGCCACAAACCAGTTTGAGAAACGGGAAACCGTCCTCGAGCTATAACTTTCACCCGGAAAAGTATCAGTGCTACGCAAATCTTTCCGGCGCAGAGGCCCACCTCAGACTATTGCTTCGTAAATGTAGATGGTCTGACTTTCGCAAATGTTTACCGTGCTCCTGGACCAAGCAGATCCTTGGAGCCCTTACTTCAGTGGAGACCTCTTGGTCCTACGGTCGTCGGGGGGACTTCAACGCGGTGTCAAGACACTGGCAACCACAAGGTTCACGTCAGTATGGCAACAGTGATCAGATCATGGAATGGGCTTTGGCTCAGGACATGTATTTGGTCACCACAGCAGGGGTACCCACATATTGGGACGGGAATGTGCTTGACCTGGTATGGAGCAATACTTCGACCACGGCAACAGTTTCACGCGACTATAACTGCACCTCGGATCACAGCACCATTGTGGGATCTGTGCAGTGTAAAAGAATGCCTGGTAACCGCAATCTCACTCAAGGACTAATTGTCAGCGACAAAAGCCTCGATAAGTTTGCGCAATACGTCAAGGCGTGGATCAAACTGGAACCTATAAGTAGCGTGGCTGATATTGAACGATAGACATCTAGCCTTTTGGAAGCACTTGGGGACACTCTCAAGGCAGTAGGACAGAGACCCTCGATATCATGCGGGAATACAGCACTATGGTGGACGGAGGATTGCAAGTTGAAATACCGTGAGTTTCAGGATTCCAGAAACTCTCTCGAAGGATCAACACAGGCACGTAAAAACTTCAGAGCGACAGTCAAGGCGGCCAAGAAAGAACACTGGAGGAAACAAGTCGAAAGTGCCACCTCGTAGGCTCAGGTCTTCAAGGTGATGCGTTGGGCCACACCCAAAGTGTGTCATGAACACCCTCCACTGAAAGTCGCGGCGGATAGATGGATATCAGACCCACTTGAGCGAGCAGAAAGCCTAAGAGATACGTTAATGGCCAGATTCAACGCGGCCCACGACCTACGTAGATGGGAGTGTGGTCAACGAGAGTCAATTCCGTGGGACCATACGCTTTCACTAGATGATGTTACGGCATGCACGATTGGAAGCGGAGATAAGGCCCCAGGGTCAGATAAAATAACAGTTTGATTGCTCAAATCATGCTGGAACGAATCTGAGAACATGTTAGAGACATCTTTCAAGCATGCCTAGAAATGAGTCATTTTCCTACAGATTTCAGGGTAGCAGAAGTTGTGCTTCTTCCCAAACCAAGGCGAGACCCCGCGACTGCCCAAGGATGGCGGCCAATCTCTCTTCTCTCCTGCTTGGGTAAAGGTTCGGAACGATTAATGGCCAAGCGAATGACCTGGTTGGCTATTGAACATCGAGCTGTTCCCCAGCAGCTCTTTGGCGCCCTACCTGGGCGCTCGGCGATTGATCTTGTCTCTTGTGCTATACATGATGCAGAGGCGGCAATGCGGAACGGTAAGTTCATGGCCATGGCAACCCTAGATGTGCAAGGTGTGTTCGATGCAGTACTTCACAAGCGCCTATTATACCGGATGCGGGAACAAGGATGGCCTATTAATCTTTGCCAACGGATAGAATCTTTTCTGTATCAGCGAAGGATACGTGTCCGACATCAAAATGGTACGACGCAAGACAAAACGATGGAGTGCGGGGTCCCCCAAGACTCGCCACTATCACCGCTCTTGTTCTTATTGTACATCGCTATTCTGCTCTAGGACGGCAATAGTAGAACCAGATTTGGATATGCGGACGGCATAGCCATTTTCGGTGTAGGAAGCACTGCGGCTTAAGCAGTAGTGACACTTCAACACGAAGTCAACAATCTTGTCTCGCTAGCTAATGAGTACAAGATAGATTTTGATCCAGCTAAGTCGGAACTCCTAGTGATAGGAGGAGGACCAAGAAAAAGAGTAGACACCACGGAACTTGGCATTCAGATCAAGAGACAAAGCATTCAACCATCCTTATGTGTGAAATGGCATGGAATATGGCTAGACTTCCAACTCTCCTCTAAGCAGTATTTTCAAGAATGATGCGGGAAAGCCCAACGTATAACCCAATTTATACGTTACATTAATATGGTCCAACATGGGATCGATCCGGGCCCAATGATCAAAGTGGTGCAGTCTTGTGTCCTAAGCACGGCACAATATGGAGTAGAGGCATGGTGGCCAGGGCTGACCAGGATCACTACTAAGCGTTACAAGAAAGTAGGTATCGGGGTTGGCTGGCACATCAATCTA